GATCACAAGTCCGCATCTTGTACAGCAATTAATCACTAAGAAGAATATATGCAGTGTATTATTTGTTGAAACTGTCCTTCTGATATGATTTGAAACTGTCTCTTTGCTATCTGTTTGTCAATAAAACTTTGGAAAAATAAAAAAAATAAAACAGTAATTACATATTTTTAAACTTTATTTTGAAGCCAGGTGTAATCCTTGTATTTGAGAGGCTGAGACAGGAAAATTATCATGAGTTCAAGGCCAGCTTGGGCCACATAGTGAGTTCAAGGTCAGTCTGAACTACATAGTGAGACCCTGTCTCAAAAAATCAAAACTCAGGGAAAATTTAGTTCTTTTTCCCATCTTGCAAAATAGCAGGTGAAAAAACTGAGAAGCCAGGCACTAAAGAGAAGAAACTCAAAGCCAAGAAGGCTTCACCTCTTTGCTAGTGGTACTGGTAAGAACAGTAAGGTGAAGGCAAAAAGTCCAAGGGGCAGCCCCACTGCATCTGAAATCCTGTCCTGGTTAAAGGAATTGGTAGATACTCCTGATCTGCTATGTAGTCCAGAAAGGCTTTGTACAAGAGAAAGTACACAGATGCTAAATCAAAGGTTGAGAAGAAAAAGAAGGAGAAAGTTCTTGGGATCACAAAACCAGTCGGTGGGGACAAGAATGGAGGTACCTGGTGGTTAAGCTTTGAAAAATGCCTAGACACTACCCTACTGAAGATGTGCTTTGAAAGCTCTTGAGCCACGACAAGAAACCCTTCAGTTAGCATGTGAGGAAACTTCGAGCTAGCATCACTCCTGGCACCATCTTGATCATCCTCACTGGTTGTCACAGAGGCAAGAGTGGACTTCCTGAAGCAGTAGGCCAGTGGCTTGCTTCTTGTGACTGGGCCTCTTAGCTTTCTGTTCTTCCATGAAGAAGGCACCAGAAATGTGTCACTGCCACTTCTACAAAAATTGCTATCAGCAAAGTGAAAATCCCCAAACACCTCACTGATGCTTACTTCAAGAAGCTGCAAAAACCCAGACACCAGGAGCGCGAGATCTTTGACACTGAGAAAGAGAGAGACCAGATTTCAGAGCAGCAGAAGGTTGATCAGAAAGCAGTGGACTCAAAGATTTTAGCAAAAATCAAAGCTGTTTCTCAGCTCTGGGGATGCCTGCAATCCATTTTTGCTCTGGCAAATGAAATTTATCCTCATAAATTAGTGTTCTAAATTTCTTACTAAGTACCTAATTAGAGGGCTGGAAACAGGGTGGTAGAATTTCTTTTATCAAACGATTTTTATGGTAGTTTAGGTCAAAGACATGGTGAAAGTGAAAGAAAGGGGACTTAACAATATTTGGGTGATAAAATTGGTAAAATTTTGGTAGGTGATTAGAGTATGAGGGAAAAAGAGGTGGGATGACTTCCCAGATTTCTAGCTACTAATACCTATCAGCTTATCAGTGTATTATTTAGTAAATATTGATTGAATATCTCCTCACTGTTAAGTTGCTCAGCAGATTAAAGTGCCTGCAAGCAGATGCAGGGGCTGCGGGTTCGATCTCTGGGCCTGACGTGCCAGCCCCAACCTGGGGCACGCTGAGATGGCAGTTGAATCTGGACATGGTGGCACACGCCTGTAATCCCAGCTTTTGGGAGGCTGTAAACAGGTAGATCAAAAAAAAAAAAAAAAAAAAAAAAAAAAAAACTAATTAAATAACTGGTACTTTAAAAGAAAAAATCAAAAGTCAGGCTGATGTGACAGCTCAGCAGACTAGGGCACCTGCTTAGCCAAGTTTAGGCAAGCTCAGAAACTGCAGTTTGATTCCCCTACATGACATTCCTTACCAGCCCCACCCTCAGGGTGGGCTGACCCAGCCACAGAGTCCAGGTGTAATAGCACAAGCCTGTAATCCCAGTGCTGGGGAGGCCGAAAAACAGGAAGATCACTGTGAATCTGAGCTGTGTAGTGAGACTCTATAACAACCAAATATATGTTTAAAAAAAGCAAATAATTTTACTGTGGATGTATGTATGTTTATTTTGGTGACTAAAATAATTATTTGTATGTAGTATTCTTTAGCCGTAATAGCTATTCTTTTATTTCAGACACCCTGTTGAAGAACTTTTAGATTCATATCACAACCAAGTCGAACTGGCTCTTCAAATTGAAGTAAGTTCTAATTCATATTTTGGCATACCGCCTTAAAGATTCTAGCCTCAAACTGGCAGCAGTCCATTCTACCTTAGCCTCCTGAGTACTAGGATAAAATAATTGTTTTTAACACAACTGTACCCATTTTTTTTTTTTTTTTACATTGTCTGTTGTCATTTGCATTTCTAATCAGATACTACAGTTGGGTAGTTGAAACAGAGACTATGTGTCCTGCAAAGCCTAAACTATTTATTATTTGGCCTCTTATAGGAAACATTAGGTGAGCTCTGCTATGGCCATTTCCGACATTTTTAGTCATGAGTGGGTATAAAGTGGAGAGTGTGACATTTTTGTCAGTGTTTTGAAATGACTGGCCATATTGTGGAAGTTAGACTTCAGGGTGGCTGAATTTCTTTTATGGAATGATTTTTATGGTAGTTTTGGTCAAAGACATGGTAAAAGTGAAAGAAAGGGGACTTAATATTTGGGTGATAAAATTGGCAAGATTTTGGTAGGTGATAGAGTATGAGGGAAAAAGAGGTGGGATGACTTCCAGATTTCTAGCTAGTAATACCTTCTTATCAACATATCAGTGTATTATTCAGTAAATATTGACTGAATATCTCCTCACTGTTAAGCTGTATTATAAATGCTGAGGATACAACAACACAAAATTCCCTAATCTGATGGCGGAGATGGACAATAAAATAAACTAAAAATATATTATTCTAAGTGGTGCAGGGCTGAAGAGATAGCTCAGAGGCACAAGCACCAGAGTTCCATGCCCGGCATCGCATGCCATGCCATCCCGGAACTGGACGTGATGGTGCATCCCTATAATACCAGCACTCAGAAGGTTGAGGCAGGAGGATATTTTCCAGTTTGAGACTAACTTGGGGCTACAAAGTAAGTTCAGGCATCCTGAACTACGTAGTGAGACCCTGTCTCAGCAAGCAAAAAACAAGTTGTGCTATAGGAAACAGTATAGGAGGAGGGTAGTACTGTAATTTTAAATAAGGTCGCTAGAGAAGGTTTCGTTGAGATGAATTAAGAGTGAAGAGCTGGAGAAGAGAGTGGAAAAGCTGTTTGGATTTCTGGACAAGTTTTATTACTGGAAGGAGAGACAGTAAGTACAAAGACCTAAGAAGTGAGTGTGCTTAAAGTATACTCTTAACTAATACAATGAGGAGAGCAGCAAGAGTGAAAACAATAATGGGGAATATGTTTTACTTGCCACACGAGAACTGATGATGGCTTCTATTGCAAGAAGTGAAAATGGGTTCAACTCTGGGATGTTTGGTTTGGTTTGCTTTTGGTGTTGGTGTTTTGAGACAGTGTCTTACTATTTCGTTCAGGCTGGCCTTGAATTCACTATTAGCCCAAGATGGCCTCAAACTTGCAGTGATCCTCCTGCCTCAGCCTCCTGAGTTTTGGGATCATAGGTGTGAAACCATCATGCCTGGTGGGATGTTTTGAAGTTCATGCTCGGGAGATTCACCGCAGACTCTATGTGGAATATGAAAAAAGGGAGTGTGGGGTAACAAGATTTTCCACCTGAGCAGCTGCAAGCTTAGAGTTACCATCTAAGGAGATACAGAAACTGAGAAGAGAGGTTCCAGGGGGAGGGGAAGATCAGGCGCTCAGTTCTGACTGATACATTTGAGATGACAGTGTAGAGCCACAGCAGAATCCACATAGATTTCTTTTTGTCTTTTTGAGACAGGGTCTTGCTATGCAGTTCAGTTTGACCTTGAACTCTTGTCTAGCCCAATGTGTCCTCAAACTTGTGGCTATATTTCTTTCTGCCTCAGCCTCCCAAGTGCTAAAAATACAGGCATATGCCACTTTGCCAGCTTAAATAGAGATGTTGAGCAGAAAATTCATGTGTTTGCAATTCAATTTAGGATTTCTAGGCTAGAAAAAACAAATTTAGGAGTTGTCAGAATATAGGTGGTATCTTGCCATCATCAGAATAGATTAAATTTGGAAGAAAAAAAAAAAAAAACAGGCCCAGTGGAAGAGTTTTATTTATTTTTTTATCTTTTAAAATGAAAGCATTTATTTTGAATAATTGCTGCAGTTCTCAAGATGGACTGGATGCTGCTGCTCTCTTGGGTTTAGGTGGTGTTCCTTCACGGAATCCACACCTGAATCTGCGATACACAATTTTTAGGTGCCTCATTTGACCAGTTCTGGTGGTATTTTGCCTTTTAGCCTTTGCACTCCAGTTATACTTTCTCTTGTGCTTGGCGGGATAGCCACATTTGCCACAAGTTCACTTCTGAAGGTGGTAGGCCTTAGAGCCGCAGTGGCGATACAAGGTGTGTGTCTTATTGCGACGCTTTCCAAAGGATGACGTTCCCTTTGTCATCTCGCTTGTGCTGCCAAGACCAAAGAGCAAGAAAAGATTTAAACCAAATTGTTGTTTATGTTGACCCATTTTTAAACAAACAAAAGTAGGCAAAAAATCATCACATTATCCTGAATCAACCACACCGATTCTCAATTCCCTTTGCAACAAATCTTTTTCTTTTTTTTTTTTTTTTAAGGTGGGAAACAAAGTCCCACTGGTTCAAGGCTAGTTTTGAACTCTTTTGTATGGCCCACGCTAGCTTCACCCTCACAATGCCTCTCCTTCTCAGCACCCTGAGTGCTGGGTTTACGGATGTGTAATGCCATGCCCAGCTAAAACTACCTGGTTTTGTTGCTTCCACTTTCTCTCCTTCCATTGTCTTCTGAACCTTCTGCAGTAGACTTTGATGATTATCCTTTTTCTGAAACAGAATTTAATAAGGTTAGGGGTTCACATGGTCCTGAATCTAATGCTAAGTTCTTACTCTATTTTTCCTCAACTTTTTTTTTAATTGTGTAGCTGTATATTTGTGCTTGCTTGCTTATTTGTTTGTTTGAGACAGGGTCAGCTGTATAGTTCAAGCTGGTTTTGAACTCTTAACAGTCCTGAGTGCTGTGAATATGAACATGTGCCACCGTGCCTGGCTCATTTGTACTTTAAAGAAGTTTTATTCATTTTGAATTTATAAATAGTTTTACATATTGTGGGGCACAATGTCATATTTTAATACATTAATATTTTATAATGTTCAAACCCTAAAATTGCATCTGTTTCAGACATTTTTTTTTTGTACAAACCGGTTTTTTTTTTTTTTAAAGTCAACAGAAAATGGAATTATACTTTTTAAAGTTTCTAATACTAGGAGAAGATATCATACAATGTCTTTTAAATAAATTATAAGTCAAAGATACAGTATAAATCTTAGAACAAAAATTAAGATTAAGATTAAGCAATATTCAGAAAATTAAATGTTTCCAAACAATTGAACTCAGAAAAAGTTTTCATGATAGCAAAGAAGTACTAGAGTAAAACATAAGATAAATACTGGAATGGCAAGTAAATGACCAGCACTTCTAACAGTTTGAGGATAGGATATCGCACAAAGTTCTAGTGTGTTGCGCTCTGGGTCTGTTCAGGATCTGGAGGGCCTCAGTCGTCTCACTCACTCGCAGGGCCTGCGCTCTTGGTCTATTCAGGATCCCCCGGCCCTGGGTCGTCTCCAGACATTTATTTGTAATACAAACATTCAATCTTTTCTTGTGTCAATAAAATAGTTACTACCCTCTTGTATAATTCTTCTTGTTCCTCCTGTCTTCATGTAGTTTCTGATGTGGTTAGTTATTTCTTCCTAAAGCACTTAGCCTCTGGAATATCACCTTTTTGGTTTTGGAATTTTTGCTCTGTCACTTGTGGTTTCTTCATGATCATCTTCCTGACAACTAAACATTAGAATGCCCGCAGGGTTCTGTTTTAGGACTCTTTCTAGATTCATCCTTGGTGATCTTACCTATTCCTATCCTGGTGACTCAGACTTTTCTCTCCACTCATGGCCTTTTCTCTCAACTCTAGACTCAAGTGTTACGTCTTATAGCAACGTTATATGACTAGTCATTCCTTCCTTTCTGTTTTTTTTGTTTGCTTGTTCATTTTGTTTGTTTTAAGATTTTATAATTTAATAAGAGATTTAGATTCAGGGCAAAACAGTGAGAAAGGTACAGAAACACCCCATTTAATTCCTGTTCCTAGCCAGGCACAGCCTTCCCATTATTTTCCCTTGATAAATACAGTTCTATTCTTCAGTTTCCTTAGGCCAAACCTTTGAGTCATCCTTGGGTAGAGTTAGGGAGGTCAGAAAGTTGCAGAAATTTTTATTGGTTCTATCTTTAGTTTTTTGAGGTAGGATGTTAACTCCTACTAAAGTGACATTAGAGTGGTCAGTAGGAGTTTGGAGGCAAAGAATAATTTTTTGTAATATTCTACTCTTGAAAGGGATGGGAAAGAGAACTGATCAGTGGCAGGTGAAAGGAATAAAAGCATGGGATTTCCTCCTGAGATTCGGAACTGTTGAACATGTATGATTGCCAGATTTTCTCATAAGTACTTTTAAAAGAAACAAAATCTTTTGAAGCTGAAAATGTGAATCTTAGCTGGGCTTGGTGGCACCCAAGTACTGGGAGGCGGAGGCAGGCGGATCTTTGTGAGTTCAAGACCAGCCTGTGTGGGGCCCTGCCCTTAGCTTAGTTGTTTAAGTGCCTGCCCATGCAAAGGCAGTCAGGAGCAGGATACCATGGTTTGACCCCCAGCTCCACCTGCCTTACCAGACCTACTGTTCAGGCAGCCTGAGCTACCAAAAAAAAAAAAAAAGCCCTTTGGGCCCGGGAGATAACTCAGAATAAGCGCTTGCCTGGCAAGTGTCCACTCCTGAGTTCAATCTCAGGACCTCAAAAAAAAAAAAAAAAAATCAAGGTCAGCCTGGGCTACAAAGTAAGCTTAAGGCCAGCCTAAACTGCATAGTGAGGCCCTTTCTCAAAAAGACAAAAGCAAACAAAAGAATCTTAATGTGAACCTTAGACTAGGACATTTATGTAACTGAGGTTTTTATTATAGGGTGTAAGATAGTCAGATAAATGGCCAGAGCAAAAATTTGACATACACAGTGAAGGGA